TGATGTCATCTCATTTATTTGAAATAAAATTAAAAGTCAGGTTATTTTATCTTATTCATTTCACTTCATATTTTGTAGAACAAAAGATTAGAATTATGAGCCGAGGTGGCGCAGCAGTTAGAGTGCAGCACTGCAGGCCACTTTAGCTGACTGTTCAGCAGGTCAGCGGTTCAGATCTCACCGGCTCAAGGTTGACTCAGCCTTCCATCCTTCCGGGGTAGGTAAAATGAGGACCCAGATTGTTGGGGGCAATGTAAATATATATATACATTGCTTACTGGTGTACACCGCTTAGAGAGTGCTTGCACTTAAAGCGGTATATAAGTCTCATAAATAAATAAATAAATAGATAAACAAAGCAGTAAGTGAATTTGCCAGAAATATAATAGTACAGTAAACAGAAAGGAGGCAAATAAGCATTTTCTGTTGCTATTGTTGAAAAGGAATCACTATCAAGACAGCTCCGCTTGTCAAAATGTAACCCAATAGTAAACCTTATTCTGTGATAGCTTGAAAAATAAGTTGACTCCTAACTGAATCCAAAGAAATTTATTTGACTTATATGTTATTGTGAACTTGCCAGATACCCACCTCTTAAAGTTACTCATGAACTGGAAGCCATTTAATTGCTATTCCATTTTTTTCTCCAATTTTGCAAAGCAGTCTTTCAAATGAAAAATGTCCATATTAAGGGGAAATGCATACAAAAGCTCATACATTGGTAAAACAGCATACCAAAAAGCAATACACTAAAGTAAATATAATGAAAAATGAGAACAAAAGGAAATTGTGCTGAGCATATGTGCAAATCTTTGGGCAGACTTTTTTTTAAAAAAAAAAAAACAGAATTGGATGTAGAAATTGAATGGAATGTACCTACCACCAGAAAAACAACATGTTATTTAAATTTTTTGTCAGATTTATATCCTGCTATTCCTTCCAGGAGTTCAAGCAATGTACCTACTTTTCCCTCCTTCAATTTTCCTATAACATCTCTGGGCCACTGGCTGGGTTAAGTGATTGAATATCTTTGCACAGGAATGGGAGCTCAGGGGCAGAATATAGCCATTAGCTACCAGGTTTAGCATATCCATCTTTTTTAAATGTCCACAAAGCCTGGAAATTTGCCCATCTGTCAACATCATCATCGATCTCAGCCACCCTCTCCACCTCAAAGGGCAAACTAATGTTTAAAGTTTTCTAACTGTGGCTTTACAGGTTGCACAAACCTAGCCATTTATAAATAAAAGTTTATGAATTACTTGGATATGCATCCAGCCAGATATAGCTTACTCAACAAACCATCTTGATATAAGTCATAGATTAGGGCAATGTGTAGATCAGGTCATTTCCTAGACTATTATAGTTGGTCACACAGTCAGCCAGATGTTTCGAGTGCATTCGGCATTTTTGCCTAACCTATCAAGTATTTCCATGTACCTGGGCTAGACAGTTGTTGTTTGATTGGGGTTAAAGGAATTGTCACAGGTGCCAATAAAGCTCCCATACGCAATTGACTGATGGTTATCTTGTCAATGCCAGTGGTGTTCAAGTGTTTTGAAATTGCACCCTATTACTGTTGTATTACTTTTGCTTTCTTTTGCCACAGTCATTCTGCTTCTGTTTGCAAGTTTGCAAGTCATTATATTTTGTGATTTTCTCCAGTTCTTTCTCTTCTGTTCTGCTGTCTCCAAGTATTGCAATGCTCATTTTCGAGACTATTATTATTCAGGCAAGTTTCTGGGATTGTGTAAAATAGAGACTGAGTCACAGCATGTATTATCCCATTAAGCTATTAGCTTCCCTCTCTGCTTTTTTGCTCTTGCTTCACTTCTAAACTTGGTGATCATCAGTCACACTTTCACAAATCTGAGGTTACAATTGTATTCCACAGAATGGAGTTTGGCAAGGAACGTATGCAGCATGTGTGGATGGAATGAATTCAGTTGTGAACACTTAACGCTCCTGTTATAATTTTTTACTCTCCCCATCCAGCATTTAGTGAACAGCTTGTCTTACCTTTCCATGCCCGAGATTTTCTTTCTTTCCCCTAATTGATTGTTTACAGCACAGACTGAATTTACAAAGAAATTGAAGCACATTTTTCATGACAATCAGGAATTTTTTGTCTAATAATTTTGTTCAACTGCATCCGACAACAGAAATGGGCATTTATTTCCTCTCAATTGGTCTAGGTTTGGTTTGGTTTGGTTTGAAAAAGCTCCTAAGTCTACACAAACAATTTCACCTAAGGCATATGAGCATGTGTCATGATGAATGGATACAGAGAGAGGGGGGGGAGGGAGGGAGGGAGGGAGGGAGGGAGGGAGGGAGGGAGAGAGATCTTGTTATATATGGATGACATAATGATTAGCTTCTATAGAAACATTTTTGCTCATATGAACTTATCTGAATGGCATGTGACTTTCCCAGTTATAGTGGAGTATATATGAAATACTGTTCCTCTGAGGCAGGCTTGTCACACAGATTTAGTACCAAGTGAAATACCTATCCCTCAGGGCCACCAACAAAATGTCGCAGCATTATTCTTTTGTAGTCTGCTGAGCCCTTTTCCATTCCATACCCCCTTCCACCTGTTTTCCCTTTACTTCACCCCATAGTCATTTTTCATTGTATTTAGCAAAACCCGGGGCTTCACCAAGTCCATTTATGCATGACAGGTGCCAGTTTGGCTATTGGTACTTGTCTGTCAGTATCAAAAACTAAGGAAGTTGATTATGATTTTTTCTTTAAAAAAATACTATTTCTACTGGATTTTACACTCACACACTCCCCCCCATCCTCCCCAATATTAAAAGTTTTTAAAAAGGAAGATAAAAACAAATATAAAATAACATGAAATAAGGAAGGAAAACAAAAAGAAAGAGAAAGAGAAAGCTAAAAGTTCAAGAAAATAAAAAAGTAATCCAGCCTTTTGCAAGGTGGCTCATTTTGGTAGTGTAAGGCTTGATCTGGACACGAAACAAACAAATAAATAAATCAGCTTAGTGATGATAGCTGCACCAATGAGGATGGATAAGCTCACCTAGCAGCCTTATGTAGATGTTAAATAAGAAGGAGAGAACATGAACCCTGAAGCATCCCACATAGCAGGGGTTGAGAGAGGGATCTCTCCTCCGTAACCACCAGGGACTGAACTTGGCCTCAGAAAAAGGAGATGAACCATCACAACCATCCACTCACCACAAATCCTCTAAGACAATCCAGAAGAATATCACTGTTGATGGTATCAAAAGCTGCCAAGAGGTCAAAATAGGGTAAGGATGGATGCACAACCCCCACCCCTCCATCCCTCTCTTCCTATAGATAATCTAAAAGCATGACCAATACTGTTTCCATCCCATTCTCAGGCCTAAATCCCAACTGAAAGGGATCTGGATAACCAGACTTTAATGATTTTCTCTGGTTCTTTTTCTTCTATTCTGCTGTCTCCAAATATTGCAATGTCCACTAGGAAGACTTTACAATACTTATTTTCTGCCCAGCTCCCAGCAATTCTGTAGGTAGAGGCTACAATAGTCAAAGCATTTAGAAACAAAGAATAGTTTTTAAAACCCCACAAAAACAGCACATGCCAAAAGAAATCAATGGCCAATAAATCAATAAATAAACTGAAGGGAATGGGAAGGAAGGAAGGAAGGAAGGAAGGAAGGAAGGAAGGAAGGAAGGAAGGAAGGAAGGAAGGAAGGAAGGAAGGAAGAGGCAGGGAGGGAGGGAGGGAAGGAGGGAGGGAGGGAGGGAGGAAGGAAGGAAGGAAGAGGCAGGGAGGGAGGGAAGGAGGGAGGGAGGGAGGAAGGAAGGAAGGAAGGAAAGGAAGGAAGGAAGGAAGGAAGGAAGGAAGGAAGGAAGGAAGGAAGGAAGGAAGGAAGGAAGGAAGGAAGGAAGGAAGGAAGGAAGGAAGGGATATTAGGTATCCTTGCCTAGGTGAAGGTCTGGGTAAAGAGACAAATCTTTAATGCCCTTCAAAAAAAGAAGTAGGGTGGGAACCGCTCAAATTTGGGGGGGAACCACTCACATTTTGAGGGATTTCTAGTTATTGTTTCTAAAAATCTATATTCTAATTTTCAGCTTCTTTCACACTTTTTACTTCTATCCAATATATCCCATTCCCATATCTGATTGATCTTTGGGGCAATGATAGCATCCTTATGCCCAACTAAACCTGGGATGGCCTCAAGAAGATCCATTCTTGTTCTAACATATTCCATAGTTTGGTGATGTGATGATCACTTGTAAAATTCTGCCTCTCTAATTCATTGTTGATATTGTCACAACCTCTATATCAATGATGTCAGGTTAAAAATAAAATATGCATTGATGTGGAATGGGAGGTGATAGCCTATGTGGCTTCCATTTTCAGTAATAACATCACATTTCTTGTGAAGTTTAATTCCACTCTTCAACTTCATTTTAACGATATGCTATGCAGCTATAATCAAGGGAAATCATATAGCCAAAATTCATTTCTATCTTCATGTCATCCTGCCATAGAATATACTATAAATCATCTCTGGACTATATACAATTAATTTTCTCTTCTTTACCCATCTGCTTCTTCTTTTTTACCGTGTTTTTGTTACATTTGTTTTTAAGGTCACTCTCACATTTCATTTGAACAGCTGGTACTTAATATTGAAAGATTGTTGGATGATAAAGTTACACAGTCAGTGAAAGACAGATGTCATTTTAAAAACTCATTATGTTTTACTGTTTGCTAAAACAAGCACATTATGAGCACATTTTTAATAAAAGATTTGTCTGCCGGTTGAGGAATCTGGCTCCTTAAATCAGAAAAGTTTATTTTACCCTCATTTGAAAGACTGGCAAATTCAATTCTTTTTCTTCATACTTAAGGAACGTGGCCAGACTTCACAATTCTATTTACGAAACTTAAAAAGAAATGACACTATGGAAATTACCTTTATTTGAGATCATGTAATATGCCATTTCAGGATAAAAACTTTTTTTATAATTTTCAGGGTAACTGTTCTTCCAGATGGAAGCCTGCAGATTCTGAATGCCTCCAAATCTGATGAGGGGAAATACATATGCCGAGGAGAAAATATATTTGGTTCAGCAGAAATTACAGCTTCAGTATTTGTGAAAGGTGAGATTTAATAGGAATGTGATCTGAGTAGGTTAATAACTAAGTAAACCAGAGTAAACCAGCAAGTAACACCAAGTAAACCAGCAAAAGTCCAGTAAAAGCCAGTTTGGTCTAGTGGTTAAGGCACCAGGCTAAAAAGTGAGAATCTGTGAATTCTGGTTTCACATTAGTCACGAAAGTCAGCTGGGTGACATTGAGCCAGTCACTCTCTCAACAACTTCACAGAGTTGTTGTGGGGAAAATAAGAGGAAGAAGTATGTTGTATATCTTTGCCACCTTGAATTATTTGTAAAAATAATCCGGTGGGATACAAATAAATAAATGAAACTAGCATGCTGGTATTCCAATACTGTACTCTGCTAACTACAGCCCTGGTAGAACAGAAATAAGAATACTGAGATTCTTCTTCCTCTTCTTCTTCTTCTTCTTCTTCTTCTTCTTCTTCTTCTTCTTCTTCTTCTTCTTCTTCTTCTTCTTCTTCTTCTTCTTCTTCTTCTTCTTCTTCTTCTTCTTCTTCTTCTTCTTCTTCTTCTTCCTCCTCCTCCTCCTCTCATCTATCTTCTATCTTCCTGCTTCCTGCTTCCTTCTTTCTTTTTCCTTCTTCTTTCCACCTTCATCCTCAACCACCAATTCCTCCTCCTCCTTTTCGTCTTTCCTCCTCCTCCTCCTCCTCCTCCTCCCCCTCCTCCTCCTTCTCCTCCTCCTCCTCCTCCTCTTCCAGTGGTTTTAAGGATAGTGGGGAAGGGATAGTGAAGGATTTGGACCTCTTGGATCCAAGGTTTCTCTCCTAACCTTGAGTAACTACAATCCCCTTGGAACTAGATTAGAACATGTACATACCAAATCCTTACATCAAGATTGCAACCTATTATCCTCTGCTATGAGTTTGGTGATCCAACATATTTAGCTGGCATCAGGTATGAAAACCATTTTTGACTTACAGTATTGTTCTGAAATAATTATATTATGCAACCGTCCAAAATCCAGACCTGTGCAGATATGTTGGGCCATAATATACCTATTGTTTCTGCTCATTGAAAGCAAGTAGAAGTTGCAGTGCAACACATATACTCTCTTTTTCCCGCCCACCTTCCAAAGAATGGTCACAAAGGAACTACTAATAAGAATAAAATAATTGCATTTTAAAAATTAATTATAAACATAAAGGAAACTTATAAAACATTTAAAAGATATCAGAGGAACAGCAACACACCAGAATTAACACCCAACTCTGCATCCTAAACATTCTACAAATCAAAATTGTGCCTGAATATTTTTTTCTTTTTCTGAACCACAGACACAAAGCATTGGGCTGAGAAAACTGATAAAAGAAAAAGGAAAGGAATGGGTGTGTGTTTGAAAAAAAAAATGCCCCCAAATTACAATTACTACTTAAGGCATCTATGTATGTTTTAGTGATCTTTGTCTCCTCTGCACTTTTATAATGACTGTGAAAAAGACAAACAAAACGAGATGTTCGTGTACAACACGAAGAATCACTGTCTACATTTTCCTGATTTTTCCATCTATTTTGCAAGAGTGTCAATCAGCGCAAGCCCAAACAGTAAAAACAACATTTGCAGGAATATTTCTTAGTTGATGCCATTGATTTGTTTTGTCTCCCAGAACCTACCAGGATAGACCTGTCCCCCAAAAGAACTGAGCTCACGGTGGGAGAAAGCATTGTCCTCAGCTGCAAAGCTTTTCACGACCCCACCTTAGATGTCATCTTTCACTGGAGTCTGAATGGACAGCCTATCGATTTTGAAAAAGAAGGTGGACATTTTGAAAGCATCAGGGCGGTGAGAATCAGTTAAAATCCATTTTCTTTGATGAGTTTAATGGAATGCAACATGCTGAACAAATCTTCAGTGCAAATTTGCAGATATGACTGAATTACAATTAGGAGAAGGATGGATGGATGGATGGATGGATGGATGGATGGATGGATGGATGGATGGAAGGAAGGAAGGAAAGAAGGAAGGAAGGATTCATTTACCAAATTTAATATTTCATTTAAATTAATTGAAGTATAGGATATTTGCTTTAGGCAAAAAAGAAATTGCAGAGAATCCAATCATTTGGCTATTGTTAAAATATTTCTGAGTTAAGACATTAGATACATTGGATCTTTAATTTTATAATTCGTAATTACTGGGAATTCTGGAATTTTTTTTTCTCAATTCATTTTAGAATACCAGAGTAACAAAGCTGATTTCATGTAAATGAGAAACATGTTCTGTCTTTTTCTTTCCTATTTTTCCTTCTCTTCAAAGATGATAACGCTTCAAACCTAGAGTGGCAACAAACTCCTAGTTAAATGTTATATTGCTGTCAATAGAAAGCTTGCCTTTTTAAAATTGATTTTCAAAAGAGTAAGCCACTTTCAGGAAACAATAGCAAAGACTATAGAAATATTTCCATAATTACCATGTTTATCTGCAATAAACATTCATAAAGGCAAATTTCAAGAGATATTAAGCACCCCTTTTGTTAACTGTGATTTATTTTATAGCCACTGTGATGACAAACAATGAAACCCAACACTCCATATATAAATACAGTTAATTATTTTTTAATTCCCATTAAGATTATTATAATTGATTATTTGAATGATTAGTACTGAGGATATTAACTAAATATTAATAATATCAGCAAATGTAACTCTAGTTCTGCACAAACTCATACAATAGACAGTATTTTTGTAAAGAGTCCACATCTATGTAACCAACCCATAAATATTCATTGCTCTGGGGAAAGAGCTCCAGCTCTGGGGGCTGATAGGCAAATAAAAATATTTTGGACTTTTGATATGGACATTTCATGGAATGGTTATGATTGTGCATATTCCCAGCCACCAAAGAGATATTTACCCTAGGAATCGGATTAGAATGCAGCATTGCAGGCTAACTCTGCTCACAGCCTGGAGTTCGATCCTGATGGGGCTTAAGGTTGACTCAGCTTTCCATCCTTCCAAGGTTGGTAAAATGAGGATCCAGATTGTTTGGGGCAATAGGCTTCCCTTGTAAATCACCCAGAGGGTGCTGTAAAGCACTGTGAAGTGGTGTATAAATCTAACTGCTATTGCTATTGGTATTACTAAGGTGACCAACCATCCTCCTTTAGGGAGGACAGTCCTCCTTGTGTAAGTGCTGTCCTCTCTCGAAAGATGTCCTCCTACATGTCCTCCTTTCTGATATTTGAAGACTAATCTGTAAATCTCCGTATTCGATCGATGCCGATACAATCCGTTGCATGTGATGTGACGTATTTGTATTTGACATGACAATTCGTCAAGGCTGGGTACAGTACGGTGAGACGCGATTATGAGACGCATGCGCTCTGCACAGGAGAATTGTTCTGAGAGAGTGCGCCGCGCGCAAGAGTGCTCCGCACGCAAGTGGCTTTGTTTACTTCTTACTGAAACATGACACGGCACACACGCACGCATTAGACTCACTTTTTTTTCTTCAATTTATTTGTGTCCTCCTTCTCATTGTAAAAAAGTTGGTCACCTTATTATTACCAAGTCAGTAAAATTTGAAACAAAGCACTGAGTGACATTTGTCTTCTGACAGAGGTGACAGTACTCCTTCTGCTGGTCAACAGGTTTGATGCCAAACCAAAATAGCCCAGCAGATAACTTCAAACTATTGTCATTTTTTTGCTCGGTGTACCTTTCCTGGCATGGAAGAAAGGAAGAGGAATTTAACTGGTCCTTATGTGAGGCCAGTGAAATGTCTGTGCCTTGGAATGACTATAAGGATCAGAAGAGAAGAACAGGGCGTTATGCTACCTTAAATATAGAAGAGAAGGAAGGGGGGAATTCCTGAGAATCAGTTTGGCCTAGTAATTATGGCACCAGGCTAGAAACTGTGAATTATAGCATCACCTTTGGTGTAAAAGCAGGCTGGGTGACTCTTAGATCTTATCCATGATGATCTGGTCCTTCAGGTGTTCCAAACTATTCTGATTATCACTGGAACTAGGGAAAGATACTATATTGTTGTTGTTGTTGAAAATAGTATGCCTTCCACATGTAATACAGGCTGAAATAAAGATTCCTATGAACATTCCTTATGGCTTTGAGAACCCTACATTTGAACTCTCTGAAGCACTGAAGAATGTGATAAATATGCCAGTAACAGTAAAACCACCATTTAAAAATCCTAGTTAGTGAACTTATGAGGGTACAACAGACCCAATCTGCATCTGGATATTGCCTCAAAATAACAAACAAAACATATCATATCAGGTAGTCTGGCCATTTCACATAAATTAACACCAGTGATGTAAAATGGCAACAATTGACACAGATAGTCCTCAACTTACGACCACAATTGAGCCCAAAATGTATGTTGTTAAGTGAGAAATTTGTTAAGAGAGTTTTGCCCAATTTTATGACTTTTCTTGCCACATTTGTTAAGTGAATCACTCCAGTTGTTAAATTAGTATTATTAAGTGAATCTGGCCTCCTCGTTGACTTTGCTTGTCAGAAAGTCGCAAAAGATTATCACATGACCCCAGGACACTGCAACCATCATAAATATGAACCAGTTGTCAAGCATCCGAATGTGAATCACGTGACCATAGGGATGCTGCAACAGTCATAAGTGTGGAAAAATACCCGTAAGTCACTTTTTTTCAATACCATTGTAATTTCAAACAGTCACTAAATGAACTGTTATAAGTTGAGAACTAACTGTACTGCAAACTCAGATTTAACAAACATTGATTTGTGACAGATATTCCAGCCACTCATATGGTCCATTAAATTAAGATTTTATTTTCTTACTGAGTATTCAATAGCTTTAATATAGGAGAGTGTAATGGCCAGATTAAATATATATCAGTTAATTTTGGGGGTCTCTGGGGTCCTTAAACTTTCCAATTTATAACAGCCTGTAAGGATTTTGCCTGGTAAAGGAGAATGCATACAGGAGAAGACTTTAAATACAGACTGAAATGTGTTGAATCTCTGTTCAGAACTCAGAATCGTGGATAATGAAGATGACAAAAGAATAGCTGTGTTTAAAAACCTACAGCATCCCAAAATTAACTTAAACTGCCTTTTGTTGCACAGATAATGGCACTTGCAAAATCTAATCACCAGAGACAATGTAGCAAGTATTCCTAAAGGAGCTAGGGATATGATTGGTTTTTACTAGCCTAAAATTGATTCCATTCTAAATGTAAATTTGAGTTAAATATTAACACAGAGCCATGTAATATATATAAAGGAAAGGAAACTCTGTAAGGAAACAAACAAAAGACTAATAAGGTGCTGATTTGAATAAAAACTTCTTATGCTAATTTATAGATGCTGGTATAAATCCTAACTATGTTTTAAAGCAGAGCATTGTACAATATTGCAAGGGCGGGGGGGAACCAGCACTAGATATCATCCAGGTGGGTGTTCAAACTAAACTCTGCCAAGCTATACTATTTGTCAAAGTAGCAAAGGAGGGTTTCCCATTTTGTCTCAAGAAGCTTAAGAATTTCTTCCCAGTTTCTCCTGACTAAGATAGTAGCCTTCCAATATCTGAGGGGCTGTCACAGAGAAGAGAGCAGGACAAGAAGTAACAGATGGAAACTTATCAAGGAGAGAACCAACCTAGAACTAAGGAGAAATATCTTGATTAATCAGTGAGAACCATTAATCAGTGGAATAGCTTGTCTTCAGAAGTCCAACCGCCTGCTATAATAATAATAATAATAATAATAATAATAATAATAATAATAATAATAATAATGTTGGAAGGGACCTTGGAAGTCATCTAGTCCAACCCCCTGCTCAGGCAGGAAACACCAGTGGTTCTCAACCTTTTTAATGCCACGACCCCAACCGGTCGTAAGTCGAGGACTACTCAACCGGTCGTAAGTTGAGGACTACTCAACTGGTGTAGCGCCGTTTGCAGAATGGGACTTTTGGCGGGCTTAGCAGGGCAGAGACAGCCTGGACAATTCCTATTGGCTTTTGAAAGCCAATAGAATTAGACTCTATTCAAGAGAGTCTATTCCAGGGGTAGGCAACCCAAAACACTCATTTCCCACCAAAAACAAAACACCGGGAGCCGCAAAACCCTTTTGATATCTAAAATGAAGATAACACTGCATATATCCTTTTTTACCTTTATTATAGGTGTGTGTGTGTGTGTGTGTGTGTGTGTGTGTGTGTGTGTACACACACACACACACACACACATTAAAAATAAAAGTAAAAATATGACTCTTGGGAATATGCATACTATTAAAACAATGATCACCAAGAGAATGCTTTAAGAGAATAAAATTACATACACACATAGGTAAAAAAAGGATATATGCAGTGTTATCTTCATTTTAGATGTCAAAAGGGTCTCTGTCTCTCTGTCTCTCTCCCTCTCTATCTGCCCTTGGTCTGCCACTCCTCTTCCCCCACTCTCTTTCTTTCTCTCTCTCTTTCCCCCCCTCTCTCTCCCCCTCCCCCCTCTCTCTTTCTCTCTCTCTCTTTCTCCCCCTCCTCCTATCTGCTGCTCACCTGGCAAGCTTCAAGCTGTTGTCCAACAAGCTCAGGGGTAAGCAACCTCATCTCTTTTATGACTCATGGACTTCAACTCCCAGAATTCCTGAGTCAGCCTAGCTGGGCTAGCTAGCTCTCTCCTGCCCTTCCTGCTTCCTGCTTCCTGCAGAGATGCAGCAAAGGGAGGAGCTCCGCCCAGTAAGCTTTTCAGCTCCTCGGAGAACGCTGTGAGTGCACTCTGTTTTACACAGACACACACACACACGCACACAAACACACACACACACACACACAGAGAGA